GTATAACCCTTTAGGCCCGTGCGCTTGTATATATTATTATTATTATGAAGACACACGACCTGATGCGCCGGCAAGAATATACTGCCCTACTGCGTTATAATGGTCGCGTGCCTCGAACGAGCCCGTTCATTATACATATGCATAATAATACATGATCATAATATAATATTATACAGGTAGGGCATATATTATTATACCGCCGGTGTACATCTGGGGAGGACTTGTGCTCGTCCTATTGTTTTCTTTTTTTCATCTTCGCCGTGCACAATAATACATGACTGCCAATAGTGTCATACGCGATATGTTAGACACGGCGCGCGAAAACGGAACAAGATCAAGATGGAAATATATATATATATATATATGTATATATGTATACCGGAAGAAAAGCTACAATCGGCGTTTTCCGGTCCGGTTGACTCGACGCGGCAGGGCCAAGTATTCTGTATTGTGAGAAATGGATGTGCAACGGCAACGACGATCGTGATCCCGAATGAATAATGACTGACTGGCACTGCCATCGTCGCATCCGTCTGACATCTGCCGCGTTTCTCGGATTTCCACAAAAAAATAATAATATTTAACGTGTGTAATTTTTGTGTTTTTCTTTTTTTTGCTCGTTTCCTTCGTCTTCCATTTGCTCGCGGGTTCGTGTGACTAATTATCGCGGCATATATGTATACTGCACACACATAAGTATATATATATATATTATAAAGCAATGGCCGCGGCTTCGGGGGATTGGGCGAAGACGCGAAACAGTTGCGAAACGAATTCCGGTGCGGAAACCCAATGAGGCGAGTCCTGCGCCGGCGGAGAACAAAAGAATGTATAGTCCTTTTTCTACCGTCAATGTCCGAAGGGGGTTTTTAAGAAGAAGAAAAAAAACCAATTTTTTTTTTCGCTCGACACCTATGGCTATGGCTGCGATCCATAACCGTAGGTATAGCAGCAGTGTGTGTTTATAGTATATGGGTTTTCTGTGTTTCCGCCACGCGACGGCTGTTGACGACTATCCTGCGGTTCAATCGAGGTAATTGCGATTGTCTCAACGGTTCATTGTGTGTAAATAGTCGTCGTTAATCGGTTAGGTATGTGTAATAATAATATGACAACGACCGGGTCGACGCGAGCCCCGAAAACAAAACAAACGGTCGTAAAAAAATATTTTAAAAAAAATAAACGAAAGATTGAACTACATAAATTAGTCTTTAATAACGTCGTTATACATGTGTATAGGATATTATAAGGAGGATGTTTGTGTGTGTGTCTTACCCCTTTGCCGACACCGCAGGATGGGCGTGCCGGCGGAATTAGGTTCGGCGCGTGCGATTCGACATGTCTCTTTTTGGGCGACGACCGATTATTAGATTGTTGTCGTTTTTTTTTTTTTACTTCAACCTAACCAACCTTGTTTAAAATTAGGAAATAGTTTAGGTATTATACTAGTCTTGCGGTATAGCACTGCATATACATACATATTATTGTAATGGCAATATAAGAGCGTCCCGAGTAGTATATATAAAACAAGTACACGCGTGTGGAAGCTTACACCGTCAAACCGGTGAAAAATCGTCGGGCACTGCGCGCGCCCGGTATATATATTTTATCAAGTATAATATATGTGTATGTCTTTTTTTATATACATATTATCTATGTATATTATGTGCACACGGCGTGGCGTTTGTGACAAATGGAAACCACGTCTGTTTTCGCGTTCCGTCGAACGGTTCATAAATCAAACGGAATCACATGATGCAGGTATAGGCGAAAGGTCACACACATACATACATGTATATATACATAATACAATCGAGCCTAAATTATCCATGTGTATGTGTTTGCATCTCTTATAGCCTACACGGCGGTGTCTCGTCGATAGGGTTCACCAAAGAAAGCCCTCTAGGCGCTGACGGTTAAGGTAAAAAAAAAAAAAAAGATTAACATAAAAATGTCCACATATACTAATTAATGTCTAAAACCAACATTTTTTTATAGTTAGGCTTATTGTCTAAGAAAAAATGTTAATTAATAGTTTTTAATAGAAAATAATACTCGTCGTTAATAAATTAATTAGAAAAACTTAATTTGAGTTGTTTTATAGTATAGGCTTATTGTTTATAAAAAATATTTCGCTTTCATTGTTAACATGTCCATTACGTAAGTTTTTTTTTTTAATTTGTCTTGTAAACTATAATAACATATTGTTTATTTTGATAGACAAGGCTGACCACCACCTTAAGCATAGCCGGTCCAAGAAAAAATTATGGTCAACGTGTAGAGACGCACAATAATAATTAATGTATAGTTGGAATAACTAAATACACGGTTGGGCCAACTCAATTTTTAGTTTAAAACAACAACTAGGTATACGTTTAGTCATTCCAACATTTATTCAGTTCTATGTATATTTTTTTTCCGTCTAATATTATTTTTCTAGTAGACCAAACCGAAAAGTAATTTACATTTAGACATATTTTATTACCTGGGCAAATTATTGTTTTCGTTGACATTATTTGAATCCATAAACATTTGTATGTACTTATATTCAATGAGCTCGCACATTCTATATAGTACCTACGTTGTTGGGCACACGGTTTGGACCTACCGCAAAGTGATGTTGTCGCAAAATAAAAACATAAAATATGAGAAATCCTCTCCTATCCTAATTTAATCTCCGCCGGTTGTTTACAAATATACAGCGGGGGCGGCGCCGACCGATTTTCTCTCTCTATAGTCTTGTATTATATACCTACTCTGCCGGCGACAACTTCCCCGTGGGAGAAATCGCGCGTTTCCCCTGCGGTGTACTTACAAATATTATACATATATTGTATGTATAATATTTTTTAATATAATTGACCACATTCCCGGGGTCAGCGCCGTTTTCGTCTTCCCACGAGCGGTGGCGGCGACGGCGGCGTTCATTAAACACACACACGAAAAAAAGGTACTCTTGTTAAACCATTTTTTTTTTACTATTATTATTATTATATCATTTTATCAAGATGCAGGTCGCGGCACGGTTCTTGTGTGTAGTGTGTAGTACACATAAAACGGATACAAAATACACGTTACCGCGGTACCGGTCACGAAACAAAAGAAGTAAAAAAAAAACACACACACACACGGGAGACGACACGAAGGCGAACGGACATCGCACGACGACAATAATTTGCGATGACGACAACCGGACAACAACGTGGGAACTAGACGATAATAATTAAAAAAATTGAATAAAAAATAAAAATATATATATAAATATGAATTATAAACGTGTCATATTCGAACGTAAACGAGATGTTTAAAACTGACCGTCGTCAGATTGGCGATTGGTTTTAGTGTATAAAAATTGTATTGTTTGCGCGATACCAAAAATGGAAAATACATACCCGGGGTCTTATAGATATTATTACCCAAAGGTGTCCACCAATACACGACACGTCGGTAATATAATATAATGTCTAATAATTATTACATTATTCGGCTGTTGGGTCATAGTCGTAACCGCCGATCGCCCGTTATGGGCACGAGATGTATTAGTGTATTGTTATTATTATCGTTTAGGGAATAAGAAGAGAAATATGATTGCGAAACGCCCGGGTCAAGGGATCACCAACGGAGACATCCGTTTACATGGCAGTACCTACCTATACACACACACGGACGGTAATAATAATATATTTATTATTATTAGATATACGCGTATATAACCATTGTCGAACAACTTGCATATATATACATATAATATTTCTGTTTAACATTGTTGCGAAATCCGCGTAAAAAACATTGTAGTAATGTTATTTGAGGTATAGTCTCACCATATATATCTGCACAATTAATTAATATAGGTAAATCCTATTGTGTTTTCTGCGCAAACCGAAAAAGAGCCAAAACGTCTTTGGACGTTAACGACATTTTAACAAGTCCTATAACAATAACAACGATAATTATATCATAATATTATCATCACGGTGATGTTATAGCGTACAAAACTTATCTTGGAGCGCTGCACTATATAGATACAGCGCGCGCGACACGTCTGCTCGACCAGACAACAGTTACCTATACGTATATATTATATGCACCACGCGATTATACATAAAATAATGTATATATTAATATGTATATATCAGATTAATGGCAATTTTTTTTTTTTTTTTATAAAATTCGCCTTATCCGAGCTGTTAAATGTGTATAGTATAATAATGAATAGCGGTCATTGTATTATAATATCATGGTATTCGTATGACCGCGTGGTGATAAAAAAATTATGTATATTTTTATTATAAATATAACAATTATATCGATATACACTATCCCTAAGGACTGTATGCGTCATAATAAAATATATGCGTACGGTTAATCGGCAGATAAAAAAAAAATTGATATTGTGTTGTGATATACACACAAAAATCGATTGTCCTGCGCGTTAAAAAAAAACTGTGCAATTGCTTTATCAATATTTTTACTAAAAATAGTAGGTAGATTTTTTTGTCCACAAAAATGTACGTTTAAAACGATATAATGTTATGTTTTTAATTGATTTATTACAATAATGGTTACGCGCCAATCGAATATTTTTAAATGCTAATGTCTAATATACCGAATAAACGTTTTGCTCGGACAACTCTACCAAATTTAGTATGCAATTTTTTTTTTAAACCAGTTTATCTGACTTCATAATTTAATTAGTAAATCTAAAAACCGACTACTTTTAGCGGGTAAAATCTCGTTGAACATTTTATACGTTAAAGAGCACATCAATAGTGTGTATGGTAATTAGATGATACCTCATATTAAGTACTTATTATTTTGATTTTCGCGCCCGTTATGTATTATCTAAGTTTTAAAAACAAATTCAAATGTGTTTACCTACGTTAAAATTCACCAAAAAAAAAAAATGTTTTTCAAGTTACTCGTCATATTTTGTTTTATATTGTTGGCCTATACAAATTTTAAATACATTAAATTCTAATATAATATACATGTATATCTACCTTGAGCGATACGGACTGCTGGCATTTTTATCCTCATGGTGAACGTAAACTCGACGGTGTCGCACCACGTGTGTTTTGACTTAACGAGATGTCGTATCGTATACAAAGTTCTGTTTTTTCACGTTAGCATAACTTCGCGGATTTTGGAAAATTCGACCGATTCCAAAATTCGACGATCATTTTGCGTACTCGATAATAATAATTGTACAACAACGGTATTATTATAGACATAAGAATTGTTTGTCACATGGATAGGAAAAATAAAATAAATATTTATAATTAACAAACAAAATAGAAAATTTTGTCGAGAGTGATAAAAAAAATTAATAAAAGCAAAAACGTTTTGCCAATTTTTTTACATAATATTTTTCAAATAAAATCCATTATGTACTCGGTGTACCGTCGTCGTTTGGTAATAACGTGTAAACGCACTCGTACGGTAGGTAGGTACACACACGTTAAAAAAAATATATATATAATATTAATAAAAATCACACTAATATTAAATAGTAAGACACCGCCGCTGTAATGTGGAGACGAGCTGCTGGTGAGCGTCGCGTGTTCGTTGGCGATGGCCGCGAGTGCCGGAATGACCAGCAGCCGAGTGGACTGGTGAGCGCGCCGGCAATGTAACCGCGTCCGAATAAATGCAAACTAAACGCCGGGGACAGCGCGCGCCGCCGTCGTCGTAGTCGTGGTAGTCGCGTATAGTAGCGCCGCCGCCGGCCGCCGAATAGCCAAGTCCACTGTCGGCAACGGTCGGCTCCGGTCGGCCGGTGCCGCGCACACGCGACCTCTGGTCCCCGCGGCGCCGCCGCCGCCGCCCGGTTTCGGCGGCGGTAGTACAGGACCGCCGCGGCCGCCGCCTCGTGTACCGCGGCGCGACCGTTGGGCATCATCCCCGGGTACGCCGCCGCCGACGCGCGGTGGAGGAGGAGGAGGCGCGTACACACGTGTAGTTTAACCGGCGGCCGCCGCGCCGCGCCACCAAACGGCCGGGACGCCCGCGGTCTCGCGTATACACGCTACATACATTATACGGTACATATTGTTGTAGCCGCAATAATCGTCACGGCAACCGGTCACCACTCCCACTGACCAATCCTTTCCGGACGGACGACGACGACGGTCAACCGCCGCCTGACCGCGTATCCCCACCGCGGCGCTGTTACACTCGGCCCGTGCCTATCCGATTGTTTCAACCCTTTTCCCGCCGCCATTTTATTACCAATCGACTTGGCCGGACCTCCTCCCAATAGCCGTTCGCGTTTTGTTTTTTTTTATTAAAAAACAAATTACAAGTATAATTACACGTACGGCACGCAAACGACTTTATTTAACGACACGGTTGTAGTAAACCGATTTTTATTGAAAACATTTTTAAAAAAGTATTTGACTGGTAGCTAAGGAAGAACATATTGCGCAAAACCGGATTGAAATAAAAATAGATTTTCTCGTGTAGCTATTTGGCAAACATTTTTTTTTTGATATTTCGTATAATATAATATCTACAAATGAGATTTGAAATGAATGTATGTAGCAGTAGATATATCCTTATACGTCATATATTAACGGGTTTTGTAGGGGAATGAACATATTTTTTATGTATTTGTTTACCCACTGTATAGAAAAAAATACTTAAAAACATGTAGATAGCTTTTGAATATATTGATAAATATTCTTAGGAATAAATTGAAAATAACCACAAGAAAAACTCTGGCGATTCGTCTAGAAACGTTATATGATGGCAGAGGTGGGCCTTGAAGACCTGTTAACCATTGATAATATATATTTTTTATTTTGGTGTCAGTTTTGGTTAGATTAATTTTTGAAAGTTTTCATACCTTCACACCTCGTTTAGGTATTATTTTTAATTCGTATAGGGTACCTAACAGTTATTGTTATTTAATTAATTGAAGCATAACAATAGTCGATATTAACATATTGGTTTATACTTCATGGAATAGTTAATGCGTTAATAGGTATGCCGTCATTATAAAGAGTCAGACAGTATTATAGTACCTGCGTCCTACTTATGTCATTGTTAGTTTTAACTTGTCATCTTATACAGTATACTCGTGTATTTATAAAGTCAAACAGTTTGATCACATCAACTACTTATATAAATTGTTGTTTTAAAAATTAGTATTTAACTATATGATTATCCAATTAATTTTTGTAATGGTTTTTTAATTTTATTTAAAAACATTAACAATCATTGCTTCATAAGGCACAATAAGTAAATAAGATTAATATTTAGTATAAACAAAATAAAAGAACATTGGTATCATATTACATGAAGAGGGAGACCATTCAGTGATAGAGCACAAAGTGATTTTATTAAATAATGATTATGAATTATGATGTATATCCAAATTTGTTTTTTTATTTTCATTTTAGTGAACGGTTATGATTCTAGTTTGTGGTTTTGAATGTTTTTTTTTGGTAAATTTGTCCGCCAATCGTCTAAACTATACCATAATATATGAATGTACATGAAGTGAAATAAAAAAAAAATGTTTATCATTCAACCTTCAAAAAACTTTTCTTACAAAGAAGTAGATGTATATATTATGTAAATATATAGTTTTTATAGTAAACGCCGTTGTGTTAATAAATAATATCATATATATTATACTTACTATGTGCATATACCTAGCCGGTACAAATATATAGGTATAATAATTCAAAGACGTTTGTGTATTTCTAAGTAGTAGGTAATGTTTTTATTTAACTTTTACATAAAATGTATATTAAACAAAATATAAACAATCAACGATTATATAATTATTATTGAAATGGATAATGTCGCGTCGGTTACGATGTAAGTGTTATTATAATATTATAGGTAATACAGTGTTTATGTATTATTACAGTATGATGCATATTGTACAATATAGGATACATAATTATTATAGAAACATTTTTTTTTTCGATTTTTAAATACAATACAGTTTGTGGTGTAAATGCAGAAACGGTTAGACATAGGTAGCACAATAATTATTGTTATGCCACTTTTGATATCGATGCGGTACTTTAGGGGTGGCAATGATTTAGTTATCCAGCTATTGTTATTATAATTATTACATTTCGCTATCCGTATTTAGTATATTTTAATTATCATATTGTTTATAACGGATTAGCGAGCGGAATAAAAAGGCGCAGATATCGTTTTACATAATTAATGTCATTTCAAATGAACCGTACAACTTGTTGACTAATTATATCTCATAAGCAAAGTATTCATAAACGTTTAAAGAAAACGTCTTAAAATTAATTAATAATGACAACCTCGTGGCGTTTGGTTAGCGATAAAAATGTGAATATTTCTAATAAACTATAATATTTAATCTATATATATATATATATATAATTTATATATTATATATATATATATATATGTTTGTATAACTGAATGAAACCTTATATGCGGCAGAGGAATATTACCACTTTATTTCAGAAATACATTTAGAATGATCCATTATGCATTTCTGTTGGCTGTAACAATAATTGTTTGTAAATTGGTTGCTTTTTGATGTGCGAAAATCTGAGAAAATATTAGTGTATGTCATCATGGGGATGTACATATTTTGTTTTCCAAAAATTGATTATTCTATATTATTTTTTACACACATAACACTTTATAGGTACACATAATGCGCCAAGGGTGTTTCGCAGCTCAGTGCCGCAGTGCTGGTTATTATTTCCATTACGATATCGTACATGCTCAAATATGTAATCGTTGTGTTAACCTACTGTGACTATCTTAGTATTAAACGTTATGTACACAAAAAACAAATTAACATAATCAACGTGAAAAATACTATTCGTTTTACACGTTATATAATGTACCTATATACTATACAATTATACTGGCAAATTGCAAGCATATTAACGCGGCCCAGGGTCGCTGTACAGATTCGTTGGCGCACATAAAGGACACGCATTTTTTTTTTCTTTTAATGAACGCGTTCAATCGTGCAACACTCGTGTATACGTACATGTATACTTATAAAACGCATTTAAATTTGTAATTAAATTAATAATATCGACCAATCGGTCGACAGCCGCAGACAACCCCGCTTATCTTGAAACGCTGCTATAATTGCTCAAAATATAATATTATTTAATCAAAATTACTTAGCTATTACCGACCGGTCATATGCATTTTTGGCTTCCACTTAGTGTGTACCGCGTTTTAGTGAAGCTGTACAGCGTACACAATATATAATTTACGGACCGTCCATCGAGCGTACCTATATGTATCTACATTATTGTAAGGCAATACTGCATATGAGTATAGTAATGAGTTTACAATAATAATCAGAGTAATATAACATACTTATTAACATATCCTCGTACGGCTCGGCGCATATATCGTAGACTACTTATCGACGTGGAGATGTGCGTTCACGGTGATTTACGCGGGCGGTCCTTATATTATTATTATAAGCGTTATATGGAAAAAATGCACAGACATGCGCCTACAGTTGCAGTCGGTAGTGGTCTAGAAAAAAGAAGAATATTATGAGGAAGACAAAGAAAATAGGTGATTTTCTTTTTATGAAAAATCGTATGCTTCACAGCATACCTGCCCGTCGACCTGACATGGTAAAAAAAAACAAAAACGATAAGAATACATTATGAACTAAACAATAATATGTCATAATATTATAATATGCGCATAACATTATCGGTATACAAAACAAAAGAAGCGAAATATAAGATTGCGGTCAGCTGTATGCTTATTATATTATATATCATTATAATGCTTGTTTTTCAGACGATTTTAATACTTTGAGACGACCTCTGTAGAGTGGTATTTGTGACCGTTTTGTACATGTGCGTGATGACTATAAAAAAAAGATAAGTGTCATATTATGTCTTTACAAGGAGTTTAGCCAGTTTAGGTATACGCGCCGAACGTACAATATAATTATAATAAGATATTATAATTATTTTTATTATAATGTTTATTTTTCTAGGCAGACGAGTGATTATTCCTGATAAAATTATGTGTCAAAACTCACTTGGACAATGATTAACGACCCTGACCGAGAGATTATATAAGTGTGTATTTGTGTGTGTGCGTGATGTACATTATTATAATATTATAATTATTATACGAGTTTTACCTATTGTTTTTTTCTTTTTCTCTTAGCGTCCACCATTGTCTTAAAGCCGCTGCCAGTGGTCAGTGAGATCGCATCATTGTGAGCCGATCAAATTCCCAAAGCAGATAATATATTTATTATTTTTACATCACGATTTTATGGTTTATGTAGTGCGACATAAGTAAGTGAAAACTTACTATTTTAACTAAAATGTAACTATCAAGAATTTACAATGGTGCTTCATACATAGGTATAAGTAGTCCAATTAGACTCGTGTTAGATGTCGAGCTTAACGTACTCAGCAGTTAATGACACCAAAGACATTGAATTAGTTAATATAATTCTTCATGAGATTCAAAATATGGTCCCAAGGGGGTGTATCTAAAGTTTGGTATAAACCAAGTAGAATTTAAGAAAGTCATATAGTGAAAAGTTGTATAACTTAATATAGATTACGTGACAGATCGACATAACTAACTTAACTAACCTGTTTGTACATAAGTAAAAAAATTTCATATTTCATGAGTTGGGCATGTGTTGGGCATTGACTGAAAGAGTAATAGGAACAGCC